AGGCTCTCCTCCCACCTCCTCACCTTGCTCCTTAAGTGTTGTATGTCTCACCTGTGTCTCCAGAGAGGTGGCGCATGCAGGAGCAACAGGGAGGAAGGGAGGGGCTGATGCTCCTCCAGCCCAGGAAACTGTCCTGGCCACAGGGAAACCCCATGGTGTCCGCATTTGAGAAACAGTGACCTAGATAGTTGGTAGGGAAGGGCCTATTCAGGACAATGGACCACTAGAAAGAACAATAGGCCTTAGGAGAGGCTTATTTCCCACCTGGTGACTCTTCCTGAGAACGCTACAGACAGCCTGTGAATGATGGCTGCTCTGACTCTACAAGGATAGGTGACCAGGCCACATGATGCAGGAATCCATCTTCGGAAGTCATTATTTTTTCACAGACTGGTCTGGGAACCAAGGTTTGGAACAAAGGGTTTCCACCATATGCAAAAGCTATATAAGGCAGGGAGTGACATCATCTGTGGTTCTTCACTCCCCACACAAAAATAACTCCTAGAAACACCTGAGAAACAAAGACTGAACTGGGGGAAGTGCTGGACCCAGGCTAAAAGGATTTCTAGCCTGTATATGAAACACTTGGGGATTCCAAGCTGTAAAGAAAGTGCAGCTTGCCCCTTAAGAATCTGCAGCCTGCTTGTATCATCTCTTAGAGTAAGAATCTGCTAATTCATATCCAATCTATCTAGTATATTAAACTTAGTTTGTGTTTTTTGTTCATTTGCTAGGTAATCTGCTTCGATCTGTTTGCTATCCCTTAAAATCTACACTTTCCACAGTATGCATCCGATGAAATGAGCTGTAGCTCACGAAAGCTTATGCTCAAATAAATTGGTTAGTCTCTAAGGTGCCACAAGTACTCCTTTTCTTTTTGGAAATTATTTGCAACTATGCAGATTAGCTAATTGAAATTTGCATACACAATCACACATGGAACTGCAGAAAACTTGACAGCTATGCCCTTTGTGGCTGTCTGCACCACTCTGCCCTGGGCTGCGTGCAGGTGACTTCTCCTCAGAGGAAGAGGATCTGTCTCTTTGGGGTGTTCTGAAGGCTGTGGGATCCCAAGTCTGCCTATGGGGGAGGAAGGAATCAGCTGGGCAGCAGGCAATGAGATTAACAACAGGCTCGCCTGCTTGCTGCTGTTCCCATGGAAACACTAGGAAAGAAGAGAGGAAATCCAGCCCCAGCCCCCTTTGTAGATGAACTTCCCCACCCTTATCCCACCAGCTGCCACACCTGTTTCCATGAGAGCCAGCAGGTCCCTCTGAGGCATTTCCCTGGTTGAGGCTCACAAGCTCTGTGAACTGCTGTTTCTCCAGCAGCCCCCAAGGGTGGGAAGAGCTGGTGCAGAGAAGAACCAACCTAAACTAACCTTACACTCAAGGCCAAGCCTCAGAGCTCAGAGGAAATCTATTTAATTTCTAAAGGGATCTGCACTTTCTCCTTTTGCCCCTGCCTGGATGGATCCAAGAGGTGCTGGAAATCTGCTCTCTTAAGGCCTTCAGCAGAGCTGGGCCCAAGATATAAAATCCAGACCTGAATTGGAGTTCAAAGAAACAGGTGTACAGGGGGTCTGAATTTCAAATCCAGGGGGTTTATTTCGGTCCCATCTCTAGAGGTTTGGTTGCTAGTCTGAAAGGACCCTCTTACCCTTCACTATGTCCAGTAGGGCTGCAGTATGCAGCTGAATGGCAGTCAAATCTGGGATGACTAGCTGTTCAGACCTGCTGGAGAACATTAATGGCTGCTGGGGTACTGTCAAAGCCAACCTTGCTTAGCTTGTGAGCTTTAAGGACTGCAGCACAAGATGGGGTTTGGCATCCTGGAAAGAGAATCCTCTTTGTTAGACATAGATATAGACAAGACCCAGGCTGAGCTTCCCCCAGATTCCAGACTAGACCACCTTGAGGTGCAGAAAAGTTTGGCCTTTTTTTAAAGCAAACTGCTTCTACTCCTCTGAGCTCCATGATTTGAGCCTGAGGAGGAAGTCTTGAAATCTAGCTGGTTCCTAGGCCCGGTGACCAGACAGCAAGAATGAAAAATCGGGATGGGGGTGGGGGGATAATAGGTGCCTATATAAGACAAAGCCCCAAATATCAGGACTGTCTCGATGAAACTGGGACATCTGGTGACCCTACTAGTTCCTGTGGTGACAGAGTTCTGGTTACAATCAGCCAGTAACTAGACACCTCCGGGAACAAATGGATCTCAACGGATCTGCAGCACAAAGAGGTTGGGAGCAGCTTTGGGGTTGGGGGAAGAGTCCTAACTTTCTGATGCTGTTCTGAGATGAACTCCAGAGAGACAGGGAGAACAAGTGACAGGAAGAGAGTGACACAAAGAGAGAGAGACAGAGACATGGAGAGGGATACGCAGGAGAATGAATGTGATGGTGAACTGGGTGTTTGTGTTCATTCTCCTGAGCTGGACAGAAAGAAGAACCCACTGGGGGATTGAGGGAGCCTGCTCCCCTGTAATAGGTTGGCTTAGTGTACATGTAGGGCCCATCATTTTTGGTTTTTATTTTATTTAATCTTTCCCAGGAATTTGTTGGTGTTTATTACAACAACAAGAACAGGTGAAAATCGGTGGAAAAATGTATTAATTTTTCTGGACAAATATCAGGGTTTATTCTGGTGGATGGAAGGACAGGGGAAAAAGTATTCAGTAGATTAATGCTTCATTAATGGAATTCAATGTGGTTTGCTTCAGAACTAAAACAGAACTCAAAACACAATGCCACCTCTGAGTTTAAGAAAACAATATATCTCTAGTCCTCAAATAAAACGTTTCATTTGAATAAACAGTTTACTGTTGTAGACTTAGAACTACTAGCCTATAAATATTTACATGTAATAATTGTGCCGCATCATTTGCAGCGCAAATTTCATCCTTTTCTCCTTTTTGTATTTTTAAAACTTTTGAATACTTCCTTGTGTTCTGAAACCTATTCTGATATAGATTTTCATTTTCTTCCCATTTTAGTGTGTCAAGTCTTTAAACCGTTATCTGCTAACAGCTTGAAATGTGTATGTGGTGGGCGTGAGATTCATCACTATGTTCAGATGCGCAGGCACTTCAGAGCTTGCATGCGTGCCTGTTTGTTAATTGTGTGTATCTTCAATCTAGACTAATACACAGCCTTACTTCAACAGGCAGCTTTGCATATCCACCCAGACAAATATATTACCGTAATACATATATCCCGTGCAATATATTGTATTTTCCTAATAAAACAAGGGGTTTTTTATGTATATTTGGATGATGAAAAAGGAGGGTGAAAATCAGAAAATAAACAAATAATAGTTTTTGTAAAACCTGGGATTTTTTTGATAATAATCGGTTTAACCTTATGTACATGATATCATGGCATCAGTGAGTTATCAGCACCTACATAAATGGATCATGTCTCCTCTGAGTGGCTCAAACCCATGAGGATAAATGCCCGCAACTTACACTCGATAAAGAGTTTCCCCCTTAATTCATGTATATGGGACTTGTGCTTTGGGTACTGAAGGCCCCAGGGTTTGCTCCCTGCCATGGAGTCTATTTTCATGTGGCTCAGATTCATTAAACCCCTAATGGTGTCCCCTCAAAGCAGCTGCCTGTCTCAGGCATTCTCACACCTATTGAAAGTCACAACCATTCAGTGCTAAAAAAAGGCTCCAGAGTGCCAGGCCTAAGCCTAAAACTCTCTAGCCACAGAACAGGTAGCACAGCAGGTTAAATTTCCTTCACAGCCTCACCCACCAATGTATCTCAGGGCTGGCTCTAGGTTTTTTGCCTCCCCAAGCTCCGAGAGGGCAACTGCTCAAGCAACAAAAAAGAATGGCTGGAACACTGCCCCTGGAACTGTTCCACCCCAAGCACCTGCTTGCTTTGCTGGTGCCCAGAGCCGGTCCTGCCTGGGGGAACCAACCTCCAAGGAGGAGGGGATCTCAGTCACTCTGGCCTCTTAGGAAGCTGCTAGCAACGATCCAGTTCCCCGGGTTTGTGAGCTGAACACCTGCCCGCGAGGAACGGGTCTGAGACCCGCCACGCTCATTTCACTGCCTGGCGATGGGATGGGATGGGAAAGACTGTCTGGTCCCGCCCAACCTGGGGAGGGGGCACAGATTTTCCTTTCAGCCATCCGAAGTCCCCCCCCCACCCTGAAGTGCACCTGCCCTCCCGGCAGAGCCTTCCCCAGCCCTGCTTCTCCCTTGCACGTGGGCGGGGGTGTGGGGTGTGCCTCGCCCTCCCTGGGCTCCCCGACAGCAGCGGGAGTGGCCGGCAGCAACCCACACAACGGTAGGGGGGTGTGTGTGCGGGGGGGGGGCTCTACGGCCCCCCAGCCGCCCCGCTCCCCCCCCCGCAGGGTCCCTCAGACCACGTGCCAGGCCCCGGGCACGATTCCACCTGTCGTCCCGCCCGCGCTCGCCCCAGCAGCAGCCGCGCGTCGGGGCCGGGCTGCGGCGAGCTCGGCGGCTCCCGCGCACGGCGCAGGCGGGGCGGCGCGCGGGGAAGGGGCGGGGGCGGGGGCGGGGGCGGGGGTCCCTCCCGCGGCGCAAAGGGAGGGAGGCAGCGCGGCGGCCGCAGCCTCAAGGTGACACTTCTCCCCGGCAGAGGGAGAGAGAGGAGCCAGGGCGGCCGCGCTCCCCGCCCCTGCCCCCTCCTCCCACCCCCGCGTGCTCCCCGCTTCTCCGCCTCCCCCCCCTTCCTCCCTCCCTCCCCTCGTCCCCTCTCCCCGCCCGGCTTCCCCGCTCAGCCTCGGGGGCTGCGGCAGCCCGGGCACTGGCGAGCCCTGCGGCTGGAGCGCCCGCCGCGGCCCGGCTGAGCGCGCTGTCCATGGTGGGGCGGCTGGGCTGCGAGCTGCCGGCCGCCCGCCCAGCGCCGCGGGGCTTTGGGGCCATGCCGGGCGCGGCGGCGGCGGCGGCGGCGGCGGCTCCCCGGCGTCCCCCGGCGCCCCGCCGCTCGGCGAGCGCCTGGCTGGTGGCGGGATAATGCGCCTGCCGGGCGCCAGCGCTGGCCAGCTGGGAGGCACCGCGCCGGGGGGCCGCCCGCCGCCCCGCCACCATGTCCCCTCCAGCCTCGGCGGCCGCGGCCGGCGAGAGAGGCAGCAGCACCTCGGCGCCTCCGGAGGAGGCGGAGGGGGCCCGAGAGGAGGTGAGGACAGAGCGAGGTGCCCGCCCCGCCGGGCGGCGGCTTGGGGCTCACCGGCTGCATGCGAGCGGCTTTGCATGGCACGGGCGGGGCAGCGCTTGAGGCTCCGCTCCGCGGGGTCCCGCCCCGGCTCTGAGCGGGCCGGGGCTTTGCATCCAGGTACGGCAGCTTCCGCTCGCGCCAGGGGCCGGGCTGGGCTCGGGCGCCCCGAGGGGAGCAGAGAAGGGCACCCCGCAGTGCAGCCCCTTTCCGGATCCTGGCTCACTCGGGCCCGGGCCGGGGGATTCCCGCTGGCCGGGGGAGGAGAAGCTCTTATGGGCGCTGGGGGACGGGGACCAGCTGCGAGCGTTGCGGGGTGCAGACCCCCCGGGTGGGGGCGATGGCTGAGAACTAGGAAGGACGGGATGAAATTGAACAAAGGGAAAGGTAGGCTGGATGGACGATGCTGGGGAATCCTCCCTCCACAAAGGGCTGGAGCCCCAGGGCCTGGCACAAGGCAGTAGAAAATAGACCTATAGGGATCCCTCCTGCTCTGGTTCCCCGGGGACGGACAGGAGGAGACCTAACGGGGCTTCCCTTGATCTAACTTGTATGGTTCAGTGGGTAGGAGATAGTTAAGACTGGCCAATGGCATGGAGCAAATTTTCCATTGGCGTAAGCATGTGCAAGTAAACTGTAGGTAATGGAGTCCTGCTTCTTATAGCAGCTGCAAATTTAGGCTGAGGGGGTCTCTGTAAGGGACTGTGCCAGAGTCCGGTGGGTAGCAGTGCGGACTTGCCACAGCTAGGGGAAGCCCTTGTCTGGCCGCTGGTCCCCCTTAACCCAGTTACCTCACACCTGACAGGGCAGGGTTAGCCAGTCTGTGGGTGTGAGAAGATCTATCTAGGTAATCACCATCCATAGGAACGATCTAGCTCTTTCCCTACCTACAATCTAAACATCCCTCTCTCTATTCTCACTCTTGTTTCATTCTGTGCTTATCACCATGGTAGGTGAGCCTGTACTGCTCTGAAGTGGAAAAACCAAACAAACACAGGGACTGAAAAGCTCTGAGGGGAGGCAGGAGATCTGAATGCGGGGGGACATGCATGGGTTAGCATGGAAGGGTTGAATGTTTTGGGAGGCAGAAGGAACAGATGAAAGCACCAGCTTGTTGTTCCTGCCAAGGGGAAAGCACTGGGCATTGACCTGAAAGGTGTTGGCTTATTGCATTAGAAGGAAGTTGTGGTGCCCAGTAAGAACATGGGAAACCCTCTTGGCAGCGTGCCGGGGGCCAGCATATAAGTGCATGATTCCCCCTAAAGGAAGTTGGACTGGCCCTGGGGAAGGGGGGTTGCTGATGCGGGGAAGCTAGAGGGATTCCCCAGCTGCTGCTCCATGGGGCGCATCAGGGATTTGGGATGCAAGGGAGATGCAGCTGCTCTTCGTGGGCTTTTGCGGCAGTGGGGGGCGGGGGCGGAGATTGAATGCTGGGGAGGCATGAAGTGCAGACTAGGGCAGGCTAGGAGCCATGTGCCCCCTGGCCCCAGGAATGCTGCTGCGCTGTAGTCATCTGGATGGGCCTTCTTGCAGAGCCCAAGCATCAGAGACGGAACAGCAAGGAGCTATATATATGTGCTGCAGGCAGCCAGAGGCACGGGGGATGCTGGGGAATCCTTTTGTTTACCAGAGAGAAGCATGTTCACTTATTAGAGTCCCCAGGAAATGAAGGGATGCTGACCAAGATGACCCACCAGTGATCTGTGGGGCAGTGCCATATTGTGAGCATCTGTCTGGGGATTAAATACTCTGGTCTTCTAGCTGTGGGGTTGGTCCTTGCCTGAGCTATCTGTTCTTGGAATACACACAGCCAGAAATGCAGTTAGTCAATACTGTGGGAGAGAGTGACTCCAGCTGTTCTTAACAGCCACAAGCTGAGTAGGGGTGCTGCTGGGAGGGTGGGGTGACAGTTGTTGGCTGCTGCATAATCCCAGTATTCTCTGCCCTCCATTTACTTGGGAGGCACACATGCACACACTTTTCTAAAAACGTGTTTAATTGTGAATGCTTTCGTGGGAGATTCGAGCACCATCTGGAGCAGGAAAAAGAGGGAAGGACAGGGAAGCTATGCAAGTGCTGCACACACAGCTCTGCTGCTGCCCTTCACTCCTGACTTGCACCCCTCCTGCTATTCCAGCCCTGGGTTCCCTGCACACAGCTGTCCTGCTGACCCACACTCCTCCTGACCACCTTGCCCCACTCCCATTCCATGACCATTAGTCTCCCAAGTCCAGGGCTTCTGTTGAGCAGATACTGAGAATTAGAGCCAACTGTGGGGTGATTTTGTATTGTAGGGAGATGCTTACCCTGGGTTGGGACAAGGTAAACCTGAACAGCCAGGTCCCCAGAGGGAAGCTGACTGTGATGCTGCCTCTAAGGGAACTGAGTCGTGTGTGCGTGTGTGTTTTTAAACCAACAGTGTTGTTTTCATGTAACCATAGGGACTGGTGAATGGTGCTGGAATGAGAGCCCTGGAGAATGACAGCCTTTATGTGTAGAGCAAGTCTAACATGAGCCATGCCAGGGTTAGCATCCCTCACACATGCCGTCCCCTGCCTTGGGGACTGTGAGAAGATAGTCTAGCCTTTGATCTGTCTGCTGAGGCTGCCAACAAGGATGTCAGTATAATATAATCCAGTTCGGGCTGACAGGAGTGTTTGAGTCTGGGACCAATAGTGCTAAATGCATGAGCTACTCCACTGCTTGAGCTAAAGGAGTATTTCCCTTAGTCAGCAGCTATAGTAGGCTCTTATCTCCTTATATGGAACCTCCATTAGAGAAGGACAAAGCCCCTTACTCTCTTAGTGTGGATTACACAGCCATGCTGGCGTTTTTCACAATGTAGAAAGCTGTCCTCTGGGAACCAGGTAGAGATACCATGTGTTCATTTCACATAGGTACCAGACAGCCATCACACTGTGGTGACTTTTGATCCCTACCCATCAGGCCAGACCTGGAAAAGCAACATATCCCCTCAAATGCCCAGTCACCACAAAGGTTAGGTGGAAGCATTGCTGCCTCTGTACAGAGCCTGTCCGAGGCCTCAGGTCCTGCTGGGGATGGAACATTCTTGCCCTGAGATTGGCAGGACATGCTGCTGCATTCACTGTTGACAAAGACCGAGCCCCTGAGGAACATGCCCAGCTCCCAGCTGTAGGTGACCCGTGGGCAGAGCCTGTTGGGGACACTGGAGAGAATGACAGGATACTGGGCAACATGGAGATGAAAGTGAGGGGAACTACAGTTGCTCTGCCCTCCTTGATTGTGCGTTGCATGGTCACATCCCATACAAGGGCACCGATTTCCCCGAAACCTGGTACAATTTCGGCCACTGCTCTGTGTAACCCCAAGGCTACCTGAGGGCTGGAGGGAATCAAAAAAATTCCTGTCTGCCATATGCAAATTGGGCTGAACCAGTACCACTTAGCCATGCAGTCCAACCAGGGATGACTTTGGCCCCTCTCCCTATCACACTAACACCCAAGCTCTCAGACTGCGGCCTGGTTCTGCAGAACCCAGTGCCATCCTATCCACGCTGATGAGGTATAAGTCAGATTGGATTCGCTCAGACATCCATTTGTGGCAATTCCAGCCTGTCCTCAACCCCAGCAAGCACTGAAGCCTGGGAATAAACTATGGGTACCTGCACCCATTCTCAAGTAACTTCTGTGGGTAGAACAAACCCTCCCCACATCCCTGTGTAATCTGGAAGCCGTGGTATCACTGCTTGAGCAGGTTCCCTGCAGGTCTCCCTCTGTCCGGGATGCACAGCCTTCCCCGTCCCTCTGCAATTGGCAGCACTGCCAGCCCTGGGTGAGCCATATGTTTCCTCTGGGAAGCACCACAGTGAGGGTGTAGGGATGTGGGGCACAGCTGCAGGGTTTGCTCAGATGGGGGCTGACACCCACACTGAGTCAGACAAGGGACAGCCAACCCAGGGGCCAGCCCATTGAAGTCAGTGGGGTTTCCCAGGTGTGACCCTGGGCAGAATGTGGCCCCTCCAAGTCTTGTTCTGGGGATTTGCTGCTGCAGGGAAGGCACAAGGCTTATTATTCTCTTATCTGATGTAAGTAAATCTGCAAGGCAGAGCCATGGAAACTGCTGCTAATGACTCCCAGCAGATTAACCTGCAATGCACTGCCCCTTTGCTCCATGCAGGAGCCACCTGAACCCCACACTGGTGCCTTGGGGCTCATGACTTCAGCATTTTGGAGCTCTGTCTCTGGGACACATAACCCTCTCAAGCCCCTGGCCAGTCCGTACTTGGATGACACTGGAAAGCTGAGTGGTATAAGGTCATGGAGATGGACTGGGGGGCAGATGCATGTCCAGAGATTGAGGATGTTCTTTGCTGGTGAGATGGAGGACAGGTGGGAAATCCTTTTCCTAGCTCCCTTGCAGTTGATCTGTTTCTCCTAATGTAGCCATCACATTGGTGGGGGGAGGGGGATGTGTGTGGAGGAGGGCAGCAGCAGGGAAGAACTGTTGGTGCAGAGTTGGGCATGGGTTGGGTCCATTTAGGGGAAAGTGCAGGAGCCCAGGTGGCAGGGAACAGTTTGGTCGCTTGTTAAGTAGACGGATCATAGACATGGGCTGTTTGGAAAGAGTTCTGATCAGAGCAACAAGTCGTCTACAGAGCTCAAAGGGGTTCTCAATTGGCTCTGTATTCAAAGTTGGAGCAGCAGTAAAGCTAGGAATGGAAAAGGGCTGATTAGGCCATCCAGCTGGACTCCTGGGAGCTGGGTTGTCCTATACAGCCCATTCTGCAGGGCTCCATATGCTGGAGAAGGGGATTCCCCAGATCGCAAGGTCAGGGAACCTTTCAAAGAGTTTAGTCCAAACGATGACTAACAGTGTCATTTTGTTCCTCCACCTCCTGCTCTCCATGTTTCTTTCAGTCACTTCACTGCCAGGTATAAGTTCTGCTTCTGTCAGCTCCTGCAGCAGCCTGTGCAAGTGGAGGA